CCATCAAACTTAACAGTTGTAATCTGAAAGGTGTTTTTAGTCATGTTACCTGAACCACCAGTCCTAAAAGCACCTTCCCCTTGGTTCTTGTACTCCATTTTAAGTTAAGAAGAGGCTTTAAACTACTGTGACAAGAAAAAACTGTATTTCAAGGCTTATAACAACCGACCTAGGATGATGATTTTGCAGTTAGATAATAGTCAACTACTGTCCTAGGATTGATATCAATCCTGGACTGATTGATATTAGTCCTGAGATTTTCTATTCGTACCTCTCTGAATGAATAACAAAGTCCTTTTGAGTATCAATCTCAAGAAAATGTACATACTTTTTATGAAGAAAATAGCCCAGAAAGCTGATTGCTACCTTCAGTCTTCAAACTTGATCAATCGATTACTGTCAGCACCTTGAATCTTGATCAAAGAACCAAGAAAAAAACCTGATCGGCACCTCCAATCTTGATCAAGAATCGATCTTGATCACTCAATACCTGCTCGGTTCTTCCTGATTACAAGAAGCTCTCTCCAATCTTAGGACAGCTGCTAAAGCCTTCTTGCAACCTCGAAGAATCAGCCAAAATATGGATCTTTATGAACTTTCAGCCCTAAACAATTCTCATGTGGTCGGCTGAATTAAATCCACATGAGAAACCCTAGATCTAAGGCTCTGATACCAACTTGAAAGAAGAAGAAAAAGAACTGTTTATTGTATTACAGGTTTGAAGAGAAGAAAAGAGAGAAAGAGAGAGAGAAAAAAATGAAGAGAGGAGAAAAGAAAGAAGGGGTTCAGTGGTGAATGATCTGCTGCCCCATACACTCCTTTATTTATAGCTTTTAGGATCCTTACAAGAATATGAAATAAACAAAAAATTGAAACAATAAGACCAGCCAGCCCAACTTAACAGAAATTAGAAACTACTAATAAAAGAAATTAGAAACAACTAGGTGTGGGTCAGAGCGGGTTAATTTAACTCCAAACCCGGCTTTACTTGAACCCCTCCCTATATCTGACTGTGTTCCCCTTTTAATTAGACCTGCATAGGACAAACTAGCTATTAACCTTTTTTTTTAATTTCAAAATTACTTGAGAACTTTTCATTAATTGCTGCTGTATTTTCTGCGCAAGACTTTTCAGTTCCCAAAACAATCTTCGCCTTTTCTCTAGAAGTAACTTCTTCTCTCCTATTGCTGACGTGGCTAAGCAACTTATCTTTGTTCCCGCCAAGTGTTATCCATCTTGCCAACTCATCATCATCCTCAAGCTTCGGCCTCCCACACCACTGCAACGCTTCAACTTCTTAAGCGACCCAAACCTTGTACCAGTATCCATTTGCACAGATGTTGATCGTTCTCGGCACAGCTTCAGCCATTAAACCAGCGATCTTTAAGTGAACTGCTCTTAGGTCTGAAGAAGGTACTCCATGTTCTCTGGATAGAATTGCTTCTTCAACTCCCGCTTAAAGTCGGCCCATGTGTTTATGGCACACGTACCCTGTTCTGTGTCAACACATTTGTGCCACCACAACATAGCAGTGCTAGTCAAATACATAGTAACCGTATGTACCTGAGTTCTTTCATCATTCATATTGGTTGCAACAAGATATTGTTTCATTTGCCACAAGAAGTTACCAAGCTCCCGCGCATCGCGAGTGCTCGAATAGGGAGTTGTCACTTGAATCTTGATGCAGGAGGGAGTGAGCATGGCCAAGGTTCTGTTGGATTGGCTATTTCTCTTTTCGTGATGGCACACTCTCCCTTGATTTCATCCAGTTGAGCTTGGAAGCTGGAGGGGGTGTTTAGGGCGAACTTCAGGGATGCCCATTCGACTTTCATCTCATTTAATTTGGCCTGGATGACCAATGATGCGGATATGGTTTTTCTCCATGTTGCCCACTCTCTCTTCATCTCGTCGAGTTTGGCTTGGAAGTTGTCAAGTGTGCCTTGTATGGTAGAGTGGGATGAGCTGTTTTCTTGTTGGCGTGAAGTGTTGCAAACTTCCTTGAGGGTCCCATTCAAGACATCATGGACCTCGTCTACGACCCCACTTAGGTTCCATTCCAACTCTACCACCATGGTCTCGATCATTTCCATATTTTGTTGGAGTTCATCCACTCAGTCACATGTCTCGCCTACAGTAACTTCACAATGTAGCAGGTGTGTGTTGAAGGTTGTGTGCTTGTCGGTGGACTTATCATGTTTGTTGGCTTTTGATGTTCAGGACTTTGGTGCTTTGTTTTTGATGGTGTCATTAGTGGGTGCATCGTTGATCTCATGTGACCGGGAGAGCCCATGCTTGATCTCCTCCACAATGCCCCTGTTGTGCTTCACGGTGTTGCTTGCGTTGCGGGTCAAATGGCTAGTGATGAGCTCTTGCCCTGAAACCAACTGTCACGGGACTAGTCAACAATGCCCTGTGTGGCACTTGATTGGGTCGAGTAGGCCTACAAAACAAAGCAACAAGCAAGACAAAGGCAACAGCGGTGGCACACAATTAGTAAAGAGACAACTTGTATTGCATTAATATGTAAACATAGGTACATAGTACAGTGTTAGGGGCCCCCCATACAAAATACATGTATTGCCCCAACCAAGATACATAAGATGGAACATGGTTGGCAATCTGGTGACATGATCAATGAAGTTGCTTGTGACAATCTGCTATGTGAACCGAGAATGGGGTAGTGGACTGCTAGGTCCAATTTCTTGGCCAGTTCAGATGTGATAAAATTTAAAGTTCTCCCATTGTCAATTAGTATGGAAATTTTCTAGCCCATAATGAATCTCACAACCTGCATTGTTTGGGTGAAGGAAGCCCTGTTAGAGCTTGTAGGGAAATTTCATAGTACCTCAGTTCTTTGTCCTCTAGTGGTCTGTCCATGTCCTCAGGGGTGGGATGGATCACCTTTGTTTTTGGGTCCTCCACTTGCAAGAGATAAGCTTGCTGGGCCTTGCACTAGTGACCCAATGCAAATTTCTCATTACAACTATAACATAGGCCCTTCTCTTGTTGGGCCTGCATTTCAGTCGAAGAGAGTCGCTTAGAGGGAAGTGCTCCAGGTCCGGTCCCTTTCATTGGAATCAGTCCCGGTTTGTTTGGTGGGTTCTTAAGTATAGGCCCCTGGGGCTTATTTAATTTCTGAATCTGATACGACAATCCATGGGCCCTGAGAGCAAGTTTATCAAACTCTATTTGATATTCCCTCTCTGAACTAGTTTGCTTCAATTGAGTGAGGGCTTCATCAAAATTGATGAATCCAGTTGGTCCAAATCTAACACAAATGGCTTTGGTGAAGTCTAACCAGATTAACTGGGGGTGACTCTTTTGGTACCATTGGTACCAAAGACTAGCCTCTCCATCCAGATGGATTGAGACTACAGAGACTCATTGGAAAGCCAGAGTCTCGTGGAATTCAAAGTATCTTTGTGCTTGGCAAATCCAAGGGGTAGGATCCTCACCTGTAAGGACCGGAAAATCCAGTTTCCCAATGGGGCCATCTGAGTGTTCTTTTTCGATCCATTGCACTCTGATAAAGTTCAGATCTGTGTAGCCTTTAGAAATAATAAAGGAAAAGAAATAATGGTGAAAGAGTAGAAGAAAGAGAAGAGAAGAGAAGAGGAGAAGAAGAGAAAATAAGGTCTGGTTCGAACAAGAGAGGGATCTCTCTAGTCGGCCAGTTTTATTTATAGTTTTCTAAAACAAATGCACAAAGACTATTATGCCCCCACTTAAGTGTAGGACACATCACTTAACTTAGGATCTACTTGTAACTACATCAAGCATATAACACAATGTAAATTGGCTATACTACCCCTCTACAGATGACTCTAACACACTCGAACTCTTTGATTCATCATCCTTGCTCACCACTGGAGTAGCTGGTCAAATCTGGACATCACCGCTGGTAGAGCTTCCTTGATAAGATTAACTCTTGACCAAGCTGGTATCTCACCCACATATGTGCCTGTTTGGTGTAAAGCTAACGGTTGAAAACACCTTACATCTGCTAATCTCCTACAAGATTGCAGTTGTTATTTGAGATTACTTTTTTTCATGTTTTAGTTGCAGGTGGCACCCTCCAGCGGAGTTGAATTTTATTTGTACAGTTCTTCTCTCCTATTAGTAAGGGGAGAAAAATCCTTTGGAGATGTGCATGGGCAGCAGTTGTGGTATATTTGGGATGAAAGGAAGTCAAGGCTTTTAAAGGACAAGGAAAGAAGAGTTGAGGAGATCATTGATGATATTACTATCAAGATGGCACACTGGGTTAAAAAAGGCTGGATTTGTTTGCTCTCCAGTCTCCTCTATGTTGATAACACTAGTACAAATTGGAAGTTGGACTTCGATGGCTGCAGTGTAGGCAACCCATGCTTGGTAGGTGTTGTGGGAGTGATAAGGAATAGTGAGGGAAACATAATTATTATATTTTCGGGTTCAGTTGGGGTAGGTGATCCTATAGGAGCAGAACTCTTTAGTGGCATTAACAGGTCCTATGAAGATAAGATCACTAAACTATACTAATGTCATTGTTGAAGGAGATTACTGTTTACTAGGTAGTCACAAGGTGGTTGGAGACTAATCAGGAAGGTTTGTAGACTTATAAGCATTTGTTCAGGGAAATTAGAAGTCTGATGAGGCATTTGAGCAGAAAAATCAGTTGGGTACCTCATGCTGCAAAAAGTATAGCAGATGGATTGGCTAAACAGGAGGCTACAAGGGATAATTAATCTAAGGGTGTTCCTTTATGTTGTAACTTCTGAAGTGGCTAGCTGAGGCTATCCACCTTTAGTCCATGATGTACACATCCTTTTGATATTAATAAATTATTTTGTTTGTTGATGATAAAAAACACAATTTTGTTGTACATTTTCTTTTTATACAGGTTTTATCACATATCAGATTATTTAGTTCCTTTAGTGATCATTTATCTCTTTGGGTGATGGGTGCTATTCTGGAACACCCCGGATTTTTGTGTTTATGTGATTTATTGGTTGATATTGCAGTGAAGTGCATGAGCAAGCATTGATATCTTGTGATGCCATACACCGCGACCGGAGAATATTACTGAAGCAGGAGATTGGAAGGATGGTTCTTTTTTTCACTGATCAACCTAGCTTATTGGCTCCCAACATTCAGGTAGTCTTCAAATATCCCATTCTCTTTTTTCTTTGTGGTAAATCTAGTTCTAGCCATAATTTCAAATTATAGGATGAAAAATGTTTCTATTTTGTCTTTTATTTTCAAGTTGAGTTGACTTTTTAGAAACTGGATCTGCTCCCAGAAGATGCTCCCAACAACCCTCCCAATAAGACACCACAGCCACACATCAGGAACATATCCCCATGAATGACAAGGGAAGAGTTCCTGGTGTGCAGCTATAGTAGCTTGTTGGGAGCAGATCCAAACTTGACCTTTTATAGGTAGTTGCTGTCTTTCTTCTCATTGACTGATTCTATAAGAAAAAAAATCTTTTTTTAATGTTTTCTGGTATGTAGATTGGCTGAATCCATGCCTTGTAAATTTTGGGTAAACTACAAGGACATCCCTATACTAGGGGGGTGTGACACTTAGCCCCCTATGCTATTTTTTGTGACATTTGGCTCCCTGTTCTTTCTCCTTTGTTAGGTTTGTTCTAGTTTGGCGATTTGGGTGGGATTTGGAGCTTTTTCTTTCTTCTCTTGGGTTATCTTTGGTTACCTTCCTTGTAATCTTTTTTTCTTCTTTTAATAAATTTTATTTTATTACCCAAAATACCCATTTGAACAATATGTGCATTGTTAGATATTCTAAAACCTAAAATTCCCGTCTTACTTTGGAAGACAACTTACTCTTTACCCATTTAATATTACTAGATGCAATGTTTCTACTCATGATTCTCTAACTAAAGATCTGGGACATTTAACTCATGCCTCAAGATCAGTTGATTAATCTTGAAAAGCCATGTAATGCGCAATGGTTTCAAGTAATCTAGGCCGGCCATGTAAGTGGTTAATAACTGATGTACCAAACTAACCCAAAAATCTAAGCCATCAAATGATCACTTAGATTAGTGCATTAACCATAACCATCCAGTGATGTACCTATGATTCAATAAATCCAGACAATCTGGAAAAAAAAAAAACATAAAAAATATAAACTATAAAAATGGTCTCTGAAGGGCAAAGAATTCTCTTGGCCATTCAGGCAATGTACCAAGATTTCAACTACTCTCAGCTGTGCTATTCAAGTAAGGCACCGAATTTTCTAAAAAATCTAATCCAAATAGTGATGGATCATACAACACCTAAAATCTAGGCCATCAAAATAGCACCATAAGATCAGTCAACTAATTCCAACTATACAAATTGTGTATCAAGATTTCATCTAATCTAACTTGTCCAAATGATCTACGAAATTAACCCAAAGATATGGGCCTTCATAATGGTCTTATGATCCATGCATAATCTCAACCATCCCAATGATGTACCTAGGTTCAACAAATCCAGGCTATCCAAAAAATGTACCAAATAAATGCAAAAAATGTTCACTATCAAAATGGTCTGCTATGAGTAAAGAATTAATCTTGGCCATCCAAGAATTAATCTCATCCATTCAAATAAAGCTCCAAATTTTATAAAAATCTAAGATAAATAAAGTGACATTACCAAAGGACACCCAAAATCTGGACCATTGAAATGGCATCATAAGATCAGTCAACTAATTACAACCATCGAATGTATCAAGATTTCTTCCAATCTAACCCATCCAAATAATGTATCTAATCCACCCAAAATCTAGGCCATCGAAGTGGTCTCTTTAGAGCATTGGACTAATCTCAAGACTCAACCAACAAATTGATGTACCAAATTTTAAACTAGTCAGGGCCATTCAAACAATGTACCAAATCAACAAAAGAATATAAGCAATCAAAATAATCTCCTAAAAGTAAAGAATTAAACTTGGCCATTCAACTAAAGCACCAAATTCTCTAAAACATTCTGATCTAACTAGAAGTAATGTACCAAATATACTTATTGTTGAGTATCAATAGCTAAACCAGCAGCAATTCTTCAATCAATTTGGTTAGTTAAATGTTGAGAATAACTAGAAAATCAGATCAGAAGAAAGAGGGGATGGAGGAATAGAATGTAGGGGAGAATGATCCAGTTGTGGGACTCAAATGTAGTTCCATTATGTTTCATATTAACTGATAATAACATGGATCAAAATTATAGAACTGCCCCTGGTTAGGCAGCAGCATCAAGTATAACAACAATGTCAGCCCAACGAAAGAAAAAAGAGGGTCATATTTAAATACTCCCCCTCAAGCTGACCATAGATGTCAATCATCTCTAGCTTGCATGATAGTTATCAGCTTAGACTTTGCCAGTCTTTTAGTAAATGCATTTGCCAACTGTTGATTTGTTGTCCATATGGAGGACGTGCTTCTCCTAACAAAACTCTCTATCTGATGGAATGACAATTCATCTTAATGTGTTTAGTTCTCTCATTCTGAATAGGATTGTGGGTATGTTAATAGCAGCTTGATTTCACACCACAGAATAGATGGATTATCAATCTGATTGTGCAACTCACAAAGAAACAATTTCAGCCATAATATTTTTGACACTCCACGTGCCATAGCTCTATACTCAGTTTCAGCATTAGACCAATCAACTACTGTCTACTTCTTACTCCTTTAAGATACGAAATTACCTCCTACAAAGTTACAAAAGCCTAAAGTGGAATGTCTATCTTCCAAGCATTTAGCAGTCTGCATCAATATATACCTTAGCTCTCATATGATCATGTGTAGAATATTGAATACCTCTCCTTAGATTTCATTTTGGATAGGCAAGAATACTTTCTGCTGTTGTAAGATGAGTACTCTGGTTAATGAGCATATTGACTGATCACACTGAAATATGCAATAACTAATGGAGCCATACACACATAAAGTAATGTGCCCATTAGACTCTAATACATAGTGTGATCCACAAGAAACTCCCCTTCTGAAGCATTTCATTATATGATTAGAACTATAGAAGTATTTTCTGGTTTCACTCCCAGCTTCCCAATGCATGGTGTTTGTGCCATTGCAGTTATCTGATTGATTTAACAATCTCTTTGAGGATTCTAAGGTCCTAAAGAACTCATTCAATTGAATTACTAAAGTTCTCTTTGTAGAGAAGATGGGCCGAATGGCCCATAGGCTGTTTGTCTTATTTTATCTTTTTATGTTCTTTTCTGTAATGGGCCTCAATTTGGGGCTTTATTTCTCTTATGTTATGTTTTTAATTATCTGCCCAACCAGGGGCCTCTCTGTAAATTACTAAAGTTTAAGTTAATGAAATAGGATTGGGTGTGTAAGAGGAGATTAAGTTCAAAATCTCTCTCTGAACCCTTATTGCCGCCACCTTCTTCTTCCTCTTCTCTCTTCTTGAACTCTGATTTCTACCTCTCTCAATCGATTCTTTGCAATATTTTGAACAGTCCTTTCATTTCATAATGCTGTTTTTCTTCTTGGTATCAGAGCGGGCTCTTCTTCTTCTTCTTCTCTTTTTCACCTCTTTTTTCCCATACATAGTGTGTATGGAGAACTGAATCGGATGAATAGTTAAAGAAGCCTGTTTCAGCCCAGTTGTTAGTGGTTTCTGGAGAGAAGGAGATTCTTTTTGTCGTCCTCTTGACAACTTCAAGTGTGTTGCTTGAAACCCTAATTTTCTAGAGAAATTTGATTGCGGGCCCCATAGGGAGTTTGACCTGGGCACTTAGTGACTGAAAGACTTCTTATTCTTCATCTTGAAGATCGATTCGAGTTGCTTGGTGTTTTGTGAAGTCTACAAGGTGCAGTTGAGTTTTCTCTATTTCTCCCGGGTTCTAGGTGTGACGTTGTTAGCAGGTACGACTGCATAGAGGTTGATTCACAACACATTTTTTCTTCTGTTTTCATTGATTGTTATTCGAAGTTATTAGAAGTTATTTTTGAAGTATTTTTAGAAGATGGACTCTTTGGAAATTGAAAACAAGCATGTTGCTGAATCCGAATAGGTTCTGGGTGCCTCTGTTGACTCTTTATTGGCTGTGACCATAGTCAAGCTAGATGGAACTAATTATCTGGCTTGGCCACAATCAGTAAAAATTCATATCTGCAATAGAGGCAAATGGGGTTATATCTCCAGAAGAAAAAAGTTCCCTTGGAAGATGATCCATCCTATAAAAAATGGATGCAAGAAAATTATACTATAATTGGATGGCTTGTGAACTCAATGCAACCTCAGATTAGTCAACACTATTTGTGGATGAGTTCAACAAAGGAAATATGGGATAGTATTGCTGAAACCTATTCCCAGAAATTAAATGTAGCCAGAGCATACAAGCTGAGGAGTGAGGTGAAGAATTTGAAACAGGGGGAAAAACCTTTAGATGTTTATTTCTCAATACTGAAATCTCTATAGCAAGAAATTGATTTGACGGAAACTGTAGCATGGGAAAGCACTAATGATGCTGAGATCTACAGGAAACTTGTTGAGAGAAACAGGGTGTTTGAATTTCTGACAGGGCTGAATCTAGAATATGACATCACAAAGCAGAATATATGGCGTCGACAGAGACTAGTCCTTCGGTAACTCAGGAGAGGCATCCCAGTTCTGACCCTAAGGAATATATTATCAACTCCTTTCGTGAACATTTGGAATTGTATGGTAGGACTCTCCGCCAGATGGATTCTGGTCCTACTCCCTCTACCTCGTTTGTGTCTACATCAGGTAATGCCACAGCCTTTCATGTGTCATCTCATACTACTGATTCTCCTTGGATTATTGACTCCGGAGCTTCAAACCACATGACCGGTAAGTCAAATTTGTTTCAGACATATAACCTTCTCTCTGGGAGAGATAAGGTAAGACTAGCTGGTGGTTCTTTTTCTACCATAGCTGACCGAGGTACCATACCTCTCCCACTTGGCCTTACCCTCTCTAATGTATTGCATGTTCCGAAATTGCCTATTAATTTGCTGTCCATTAGTAGTCTAACTCACTCCTTGAATTGCTTTATCACTTTTTTTCCGTCTTCATGTTTGTTTCAAGATTTGGCCTCGGGGAAGACGATTGATAGAGGAAGCATGGTGGATGGTCTCTATGTGTTGGAGAATAATG